AGACAATGAGGTTTAAAAAAAAAAATGTTAGGCCAGGCACAGKGGTGGATGCCTGTAATCCCARTGGYTTAGGARGGTGAGACAGGAGAGGGCAAGTTCAAAGCCAGCCTTAGCAATGGAGAGGCACTAAGCATCTCAGTGAGATCCTATCTCTAAATAAAATACAAATAGGGCTGGGGATGTGGCTCAGTGATTAAATGCCCCTGAGTTCAATCCCCAGTACCAAAACGAAAAAAAAGGTTAGATAATTACATCTAATATCATACCTAATAAATGTTAAATCATCACCTCTAATAAGTTAACTGTATCTTCCCTTCCTTTTGCATATTAAGATTTCATTAATTTAAAATATTCTAGCATATTAATAACTACACTATAAAATGGTGATTATTTTAAGCATGCATAATAAATCAAGACTCAGATGTTCTTCTGCAATACATAGTTCTTAAGCAGAAAACTATTTCTTATGACAATTACAAACGTAGGACTTTAGAATTATACAATCAGATCCTCAAACTCAGTTCTGTCAGACTTAAAGGTAACCTAGACAGGAAATCACCTTTTTGTTTGTAAGTTCCTTTTTACAAAGTAAATTTATACATATGAATTACAAGGATGTCATAAAAATAGCCCATGACGCAGGTATAATGGAGGATGTAAAAGATTTCATAGTTAATGATTACATTTTAATTTTTACTATGAATATTTTACTGAATTAATAAATGCTGCATGACAGGTAACCTCTACTATTGTAGAAATAAACATTTTTCTGCCTTTTTTTTAACCTCATTACATATTTGTTTTTAAAAAGAAAAGATAGGAATTTCCAAGTGTTTACTTTGTTTTCCAAAATTTAATTTGGGGGGKTGCTATTAAAAAAGCAGAACAATTRGAACATAATACCTACATGATAATGAGCATTTAAAAAGGTAATAAGAAAACTTAACTTTTAAAAAATTAATATATACCAAAATTCCTCTAAGAATAAAACATTGCCATACTCATTAGACAGGTCAATAAGCCCAATGTCTACTGGTCTACTGTTTGACAACTGTTAAGAGACACAATATAATAGGAAACAATTCTTCCCATTGACATCAACAATTTCAAAGGATAGGTTGAAATCACCAAAATCACAGTCTCTGTAAATAAACCTCTACTGATCATAGTCTTATTTAAACTTTTAAAATACTTTCTACCTCAGAGATAATGTGATAATTGAGCTTAACATACATATAGTTATCAAASTACTTTGAACTTTGCCATAATGATAAATGACTAAGTCCAGTTCAAGTACTTAAAAGTTATATTTTAGAATTTTTCAATTAATTAAAAGTACATAAACATTAATGTTATACTCAAATCTTAAGTGTTGCTTTTTAGACAGTAACAGCAATACAGTCATGGCTTCAGAGATTAAGAAGATCCATCCAAGTTGGATTATTTAAACGTGCAATAAATAGATGTATTTTCTTGGAAAAATATCTATTGTTGTAGTAAAACTTGAGTTTCCTTTCTAACAAGATTGTATGATTACTCGTTTATATTGTTCTTTCCGCAGGAATTTACACACCCCCTGTTTGCATCCTGTTATTCATTTTGAATTTCCTTCACTTCGATATACTGTTTCCCTAACAGTGGGAGAGTGGATCCAACTGGGCACAAAATCCCAAGCAATGTCAGCATGCGCAATCTCCTAGTTTGTATTTAGCATTTATTCAGTTTGTAAGGGTGACCTTCAAAATTTTATTCTCTTTGTGCTCTAAAATGTTGTGCTGTCTTCCCTGACCATTAGTGATCTGGAGAAGACTTTRGGATCTCTTTTGATTTTAATCAATATTTTTTCCCCTTGTTTTCCATCTCACTCTACATTCCTGGATTGAACAACCTAAGATACTAAATCAGATGTGTGCACATCATTAAAATCCAAAGAAATACATTTAGATTCTTCCTAAAATTTTGTATGTTTAAATTTTTCCTTCTACAAGGAAAGCAAATAATTATTTAAAACTAAAAAATAAGGGATAATCAAGGCCAAACTAAGACACTGTCAAAAGACTCTGTAACATGCTCATTAAAATACTGATTCCTGAGTTTTACATAAAACCTACTGAATCAGCATATAAGACATCTACCCTAGGATGTGCACTTTAATAAGCTTTCCAGGTAATTTTTAATGTATAGTGAAGTTTGGAACTATTATTATTAAAGATCTAAAATTAAAAGATAATATAATKAATAAAGGAATTAAATGAATAGGTAATGAGATCCTACTGTCAAATACACTGAACGAAAATTAAAAAAAAAAAACTCATTGAGAGCTGAGAAAATACTTTTTAACAAATGCTGTAACATTCTCTTAAAGATAAATTCTGGAATCTCCTCTGAGGCTTAAATAACAGGACACCTGGCTATTCGTGTGTGTGTGTGTGTGTGTGTGTGTGCGCGCTCGCGCGTGCGTGCGGGTGTGCGTCTTTACACACGTACACACATAACATGCTTTAAATGTACATGTCTGTATATCTACATGTTCACATACACACATCTGCCTTGAGGGCAGTAATTATGTTAGTATTTAAATGGCATGCTCCAAGCAGCTTCAGTTCTGGTCCTCTACTTTGAAATAGGAAAAAACTTGCTAGTTTTTTTTTCCTCTTTTCCATAAATGTAGTCTGATTGCTTATTATAAAGGTAAAGAAAAATGATTCAAGTCAGTAAATATTTACCAGAGTCTAAGGACTAAAGCCTTCCATCCTAGTTGAAATACTTAAATTTGCAATACATATATTTTCTTAGCAAAATATCTACTGATAGTAAAAAACAAAAAACAAAAAACCTGAAGTCCCTTTCTAACAAGATTGTATGATTACTCATTACTCAAACATTAAAACTCTCTAATGACAGATGATGTCTTATATGGCATGGAATTCCCCACTACACAATGAAGCAGTAGGCTCAGCATATTAATAAATGCTAAAGATCAACTCAGAATTCCATGAAGCTGTGCCTGGCTGCAAGGTTACGATCTATAGCAGTGACTCCCAAAATTCAATATACATCAGGCCCCACAAGCAATGTATGATTCCATGGGTATGTGTGTGTGAGGAGAATTAGCATTTCTAACAAGTTCCCAGATGATGCTGATACTGCCTGTATGGGTACTACTCTTGCGAACCAGAGATCTAGGGGAAAAGTCCTCAGAGCTTTGCTATATAAGGGTTCCCAGAAAAAAGAAACAACTGAGAAATGATCAGGAAAAACAATATAAGGAATCCAGAGACCTGAGTTCTAGTTTCAGATGTATCACAAAAAGACTAGATAACTAAAACACACACTCATGGACACACTACCAAATACTGCGTAAGTAACCTTCAAGATGAAGGRTTCAATAAGATGAAACTGAAAATTCTAAGACTTTTTATTCAAATCTGAGAAAACCATAGTATCTACTATGAAACTTTTGAATATATAATCCTTCCTGAAATCACTATTTGTAAATTGGCATATATTAATAGCCCAGACCACAAGTGTTATACTATACAGCTTTTGTCCAAAAGAAAAAACAAGCAAGCAAACAAGCAAGCAAAAAGATGCTCAGATTAAACACATCAAATCACAGAAATACGAATCTAAAGGGAAACTGTTTTACAATATTCTAAACTCAAATAACAAATTCAAGTATTTGTAAATGTGTTGTCTAGATACTGCCTAGTGACCTAGACCAGCACTCTCAAATCATCTGGGAGCCTATTAGAAATGCAGAATCTCTGGCCACAGAGAATAAGGATCTGCACCTGCACATGATCCCTGGGTGACTGTAAGTACACAGAAATTTGAGAAGCATAGGTACAGGCCACTTGGAATTTCCCATTAATTCATTTACTATAGTTTGTAAAATAACATTTTAAAAAGATAATTTCCTTGAAAAAAATCTATTTTAAATTTATAAACAGATAAAAGAAATTAAGGAATTATTTTATAGGAGAAAGTCCACTGGATTAGACACAAGAGAATGAAGGGAAGGGGTAAGGACAGAATAGGAAGAATAGTAGAATTAATCGGATATAACTTTCCTAGCCCTGTATTTGAATACATGACCAAGGTTATGACCACATCATGTACAACCACAAGAATAGGATCCTAATTAGAATAAGTAATACTCCATGTATGTATAATATGCCAAAACACATTCCTTGTCATATATATCTAAAAAAGAGAAAATAAAATAAAAAATTAAAAAATTTTTAAAAATAGACAATTTAATATATATTCAAGACATAAAAAAATCACATTGAWAATAACTGCTTCACATCGAAACTCTATTTTCAACAAAAACTTCCATATAAAACACTCTATGATGACAAAATACTGTATTATTAAAAAGACACAAATATCACGTAGGCCCTTATCTCCAAACCATAACTTCCATAGTTGAGTAAACTGAGATACAGGGATGCTACCTGTTTTGGTTAAAGTCAAATAGTTTGTCAGTGGCAAAATGGAGAATGAAATCCAATTCTATTAATTCCTATGCTGAAGAGCTCTTTCCAATGAAGATAAAAGAAATAATTATATTTTCTTGCAGTAAACACATAAAGGAGTAGAAATACATATATAATTTTGAAAGGATAAATGAAATAACATACAAAAAATCCAGCAATAATATATCTTTGCCTTCTAAAAAAGAGAGAGTAACTTTAAAAATTAAACTGGAAGATAGAGAACTTGAACATATAATCAGAGCATAACTTCTAGATACATGAATTTCAAAGACTGACAGCATACATCAGTGAAGTGGCTGTACCTGTTTAATGAATGAAACTGGAAAACTGATTTTAGAAATAATTAAATTGGGGTTTGTCACCTAAGTTCTTCTATATAGTAGTAAACAAAACTTTCTTTCACAGATGGCTACTTTTTACAGTTATCAACATAGAAATATCCATATTTAATATAAGTATTTTATGTTGTCACAGAAAAATTAAACCCTGCTGTCATACCATCAAAGAAGCTCTTGGCTCGCAGGTAACTGACACTAAGCCTCAGAACTGAAAGTTTGTCCAGCTTATTAATAACATCTTGGGGAAAAGGCAGCAGGCTAGCCAAACGGTCCAATTCTGTATTAAGTCGGTCTCTATGTCGCTTGGAAGGATTTGACTTGATTCCTTCAGCCGGGATTGGCTTTACTCTGAAAAACAAACAAAATACCATAAAAATCCTTTAAAAAATATAAACCAAAAAATTCTATTGCATTATAACATCTCTCAAATATTTCTCTAATAAAACAAACTTTAAAAATCTACGTCAAGTTTACATAAATCTTGCCCAAATCTTCCTTTCATATCTTAATTAAGAAAAACAAGGGAAAGAGTAAGATTCTTCATAACATTTTATTAAAAAGCTTATGAACTCATCATAGAAAAAATGTTAATTATATTGTATGAATACACTTACTTACTAAACTTCATACATATGAAGTGTTGTAATTCCCAACTGACAAGTGTACTAGGATACTTTTTCCCTCACCCAAACACAGCCATTGTTAGAGGAAAGAAAATAAATGTATAATAAATTATGTAAAAATCATACTTCCTTTGCTATCTTCCATAAGTATCTTAGCATCATTTATGTTATAGATGAATAGAAAAACCCTATTTAAAAAGTTTATCTTCACCATTCCCAGCTTCCTCTATTTATACATTTCATAATCATCCAATAGTAATGATTTCCCAAGCCCTCTTGGTATCTAGAGATGTTCCTGTAGCCATTCAATGTGGTTCTCAAATATTAAAACAGTAATAAATTCAACCACAGTTATTTATATTTGTTTAATTAAAATTAATAGAGGTTAACTGTGATTACTGGAAACTTTTGCTTTCATTACTAGGCAATAACTCCACTTAATAATAATTAAGCTTTCATAGTTTGTAATCTGAATTAGAAAGTTCAATGAAACCTCACTTCAACTTAATCTAGAGATCATCTGATACCCATAGTGAAATATAGAGAAGACAATAGAAAACCAAAGTGATTTTTAGACTCTATCTCTTTACACCTTTCCAAAGAATTCTTAAAGACATTTTTACAAGCCAAATGGAATTATATTATGTTAAAAAGTGTAAAATAACCTGGGTAGAGTGCCATTAATCTGATTCAATCAAAACATTTTTAGATAATTCATATTTAAAATGATATACATGGAAAATAAATATTTTACATAGAAAGACGATGAAAAAGTAAATATGGAATTTTAACATGTTAATTACTCAACCCTAGCAAGTACTATCTTCAGCACCTTATTTCTGTTTTTCTCTATAATAGTTCATGTTATTTCTATTTTTAAAATATCAAATTGGTATCAAATTGGCAAAATAGTATATAGATAAAAGTCAATACTTTCTCTAGACTATTTTCCTATAATCATGCTGTATCGAATCAAATCATTTTGTAATCAAATTCAAATCACATCTATTTAGTGTATTTCTTTAATTAACCAACTGAATTTCAACTTTTACTTATAATTCTTGTCTACATCATTGTATAGTTCTCTACTGTTTAATAACTAGTTAACAAATACTTATTCCCACTTATAATATCCTAGATAGCCCAGGAAAACACTCTTCTACATATTCAAAAAATGTGATGGAAGCTATGTAGAAGGAACAAGTGCCTTAAGAAAAAGATTTTATAGAAAAAGGTAGCATGAGGGTGGAATCTTGAAAAATGAAAAGGATTTCATAAGGAGGTATAACTGGGGGATGAAACTGTGGGAAGTCTCTATCTGCAATGTGAAGCACAGATTGAAAGTGAGAAGGGGAAAACTGTTGCGGCCACTTTCTTTCAACAGTCCTTGAACATCTACCATGTACCAGGTGCAGAACACTTARTAGTGAAGAAAACAGAAAACTCCTGTCCTCATGGAGCGTACATTTCAGCTGGAGGACAGGGAAACAGAGGAACAAACATAGTTTTTCCAGGTGGTGACTGCTAAGAAAAATAAAGCTGGGTAAGGAGTTAAGGAGAGATGGAGGTGCTGGTTTTGACAGCCAGGGAAAGTCTCCCAGATGGGATGTTTCAGCAGGGGTATGTATGAAATGAAGGAGGAGCACGTGGACATCTGATGAAAACATTTTCGAAATGGAGAAGACACCAGGTTTCCTCAAAGTCCAGGCCGGTAGAAAGCTGGATTTTGATGTCTGAGAGTCATCCTAAGCTTTGAGTTGGGGTCTGCACAATCAGCCCTGTTTTGTCCATCTGTCTTTGATGATAGAGAATATGGAAAGCAGGGTAGGGGATTGCTAAAGTTAGGATTTCATCACCAGGAATTTCTTTCCAAAACATACATCTGCTTACGTTATTCCTCCRATTAAAACCTTTCGGTAGCTCTGAACTGTCCTTACTCTCTTCACAAAACCCTTCACAATCTTTCTAGCCTTTGTCTACCCTCTGGTTTCATTTCCTCCATCAGACTTCCTTATCTATTACATCCCAGAACTAAGAAATTTCTTAGAGTTATCAACATTCACTTTGGTACGTTTCAGGCAACCTCTGTTTTGTCTTACCCACTTTGAGTCCTTGCTCAAGACTTTTATAAAAAGTTATCCCACTGTAGCTCAGTGGTAGAGCGCCTGCCTCGCATGTGTGGGGCACTGGGTTCGATCCTCAGCACCACATAAAAATAAATAAAGATTTTTTTTTTTTTTAAAGTCTTCCCTGACCTGCTTTGTAGTRGATTAGATACTCCCAAATGGCTTCTGTATCTTGAACAAATGTTTTACAGAGCCATTACATTAAGGAATACTCTTTACAAATAACTTCACATAAATTGAAAATGTGTACACAGTCTAGTCCTGAACTCTTGGTAACTGTCCAGTGATGATTACAAAACACTGGGGAGAAGAGAGTAACACAAACACTGAAGCAAGACAAGTTATATGACACARGGGAAACAACAGCAGCTCTAAAGCAGTCTCCATGTGGTACTGCTGCCCGTTGAGTGCTGGCTTTTTGTGGTACTCAACCCTGCATTAGATTCTGAGGCTGTTTCTTTACACAATGCAAAACTGCCCACATCTCTGATGTACTGCTGTATACCTTATGAAATATTTAGCATGAGAATCTAATTTCCAAARGTCAAGTATTGAGCAACTTCGCTCCATATACTCATCTGTCGCTCACATTACAGCGGAAGCATCGTCATTTTTTGTAGCCCCAGGGCCCAGCATAGTAGTAGATTTCTCTATTTATACAGGGTAGATTTCTCTATTTATGTTTGCYAGCCAGAGGTGTTGAGAAAAGAAAGGATCAGAGTCTGCCCAGAGACAGTGATGGTATGGATGGTAAGAAAGGAGTGGCTTGAAGAGACGTTTAACCAAGACTCAAATGGGCACTGTACTAAGCCTAGTTGGTAAGGGAAGTAAAGGAGAGAAAAGCACTGAGCGAGGAGAGGTATCAAATGACTCTGGGCTTTGGAGCTTAGAAAAATAACTATGTTTCCCAATGGGAGATACATTAAAAAAGAAAAAAAGTGGCTTGAGTGATACTTGCATTTAGGTATAGGCCTGAGGAAGATGTACAGGCAGCAATATCTGCCTTATCACTCCTTATCACCCAGGAGGAATATAAGACAGACTAGAGAAGAACCAGGAAATCTGGAAGCCACAGAAGAAAGTAAAATACACAGAAGAATTAAGTAAGGTCAGGGTAGAGAAGTACTCAGCACTTCAAATCTACTGTGTTTCCACTAGATTTCAAACTTTTAAACAGATTGTTAAAGTACTACATTTGGCCCTTATTTGTAAGAAATATTCAGAATCATTTTGTGGAAATATTTCATATATGCTCACACAAATAAAAGCTGCACAGAATAAATGTAAATAACCAACTATAGTTATCATAGGTAATACTAATGTTTTTATTTTTATAATGTCCTTAAACCTTTCCATAATACAATGGCAACTAATGTTTAAATAATAGGTTACATTTTAAATATAAATAAACATCACTGGGAGATTTGGAGATCAGAAATCTGAAATAAGAGAGACAATGTAAGATGTTGATGAGGCAAAGAAGCAATTTATTATTTTTTTTAACCTTAACCTCAAAAATTCTGTCCCAACTTGTAAAACAAAACTGTTGTGAAATCAAGGCCCTAGCTGACTGCATGTCATGCTTCTGTTTTAAAAGCCCTGCACACAGTAACTACTGGTGGTAACAAGCCCCTCAGTATGTCCAAAAACAGTCTGAATCTTATCTTAAAGTCTTCATAACCTCCCAATCTAAATGTTAGCCATCATTTGTGCCCAGTGTTTGAARCAAAACCCTCAAAATTGACAATCCAGTTTAATAACAAAATTAGTTGAAGTTTTTTTATATATTTATTATAAAGCATCAAAATGACAATGCAAAGATATAGTTTCAGTGATCCTATAAACTTAAAGTGATGTTTTCTAACTAGAAATTAGCTCTCAGTACTGAGGAGTTTCTTCTGTCACTTMTTTTCTCTGGGCAATTTAATCTACTACCACTGCTTCAATCTACCTGCCAATAACTGCAAATATTTTTATTGTCAGTCCGTGTCCTATATGTACTCATTCATGTTTTCTAGAACTTGGGCCCACTCTTCTCAGCATCTATGATGGTCCTACTTTCCATCCACCAGCTAGGAAATGTGAAATATTCCTCAATACATCCCTCTACCAAACAAACTACACCCAACAAAGCCTAACCTTAACCCACAGTTATTCTTTACKTTCTCCTCTTAGCTCCAGTGTGTATGTACTCATCTCTGAATAAAAAGCTCAAGTGCTTATAAATTATGTGCTTATTATAGTATTACAGTCAAATTTCATTTATATGGTGGATACTGCTGGGTGTTTTCTTCCCTATATGAAGAAAAAATAATTCACAAAAATTTCTGAGATTTCTGGTTGGAAGTCACTTTAAATATGTCGGAATTCTGCCACTATCCTATTGCCGCTTTCTAGTTATGACGGGTTCTTTGCTTTCCCCGTGAGATATAAAAAGCATAATTTCTAGCACAACACATTAAAAATAAGAACCAAGAAAATGAAATTTGCCCTAGGAATTGCTAATCTTCCCATAATATTTAAAAAAATCATTATGAATGTTCTCTTAATTTTTCTATGCATGTTCACTTTTTTTAAAAAAAAATCAATACCCCTTGAT